GGTAGAACCAGAGCTCACAATAAAGCACAATTTTGGAGGTTTTGGTCAATTACTCGGCTGTATTTTGACCACTTTACATGGGATTTGGTACAAAGAAACGTTACTACGAGTCCCACACATTGACAAACAATAATGGTGGACTTGCTAATTTTAGTATGTATATTTTTATATGCCACAAAAAGTATCATTTTAGGTTGTTGTTATTGTTGTTGACAATTACTCCGCTGTATTTCGGCCAATTTACATGAGATTTGGTACAAAGATACTTTTTGACAAGTTCCAAACAGAGCTACGGAATTTTTTGTCTTTTGCTCAATTTTTCAGCGAGAAAGGACAATTAGGGGTTTTCGTGAACTATTCGTGTGTATGCCAACCAACTTACATGTCTTTTACACATCACAGTGATACTGTATTTAGGTTTACTGTGGCGAGTAAAAGACAACCCAAAGTACCATACAACGCTAAAGAAAGGGGTTTAGATACCTGTGGTAGCAGAACACAGATAGCTCTTTGTATAGCTTAGCGCTTAACAACAAACAAACCAATCGTCAGGTCGTCTTAAAAAGTATTTATTCTTCTAAGAAAATCTATTCTAGAATTTTTTGAAATTACACGTGCCTTACTTAGTAGTTAGACCCCTCAGAATAGAAACATTTTCATATAGTTTTGATTGTTTCTTTTGGATTATTCGATAAAAAAGAATAATAGGAAGTGCAGCATTTAGCTTCCTTAATATTCAATGATAGATCTAACTTCACAAAACTAGCTATTTCTGAGTCGAAATAACAACTAACTAACTGGCTCATAACTGACTAAATCACACACTGATTGTTCACTAAGTGACTAAAGTACTCCTCTCAATGACTCTAGTGCAACTCGTTTTATATGTATGATTCAAATAGTTTCCTCAACTTTGGAAAAGTTCCAGACTTTAAGATCATGCCCATCACTTTACATCAAACTTCCTTCCGGCTAGTTCCCCGGTGGGACAGCGGCGGTACGTCTGCGGATTTACAACGTTACAATCAGGGGTTCGATTCTCTCTCGGTGAACACAGCAGATGACCCGATGTAGCTTTGCTCTAAAAACAAACACACAAACTCCTTCCAGGCTAAACATCAATACAGATCTCTCTCCGATTTTTGATAATAATTTTGGTTTAAAATCTTTGGAGCCCCAAGGACCCCGAAAAATAACTATGGGCGGTTAATTTCTCTTCGTCCAATAAGATCCCTAGAAACGTCTAGTTGAAAAACAAAGGCTACAACAATAGTTTTATTCTTCAATTTCTGCGGACTTACAACGCT